GCGCTCCCACAATGCATTGCGGCGTGACGTCAACTCCGAAGCCCTATACCAGCTAGCCAAACTTCAGTAGCCCTACAAACGTCACTGCTGTTTAGTTTTCTGTCTTCATTTATGCTGGAAGTGATAGCAGAGCTGTACGTTTTAATTTGTTTCCAAAACCCCACAGTCAGGACATGCTATATTGTATTTAGATAGAAGCTAGTGAGCTAACTTCCTGCTAACTTCTAACTCCATTAAATGTCATAAATTACGTTTTCATGGATGCCTGGATGTGAAACTCAATTGTTACACCTGGTAGAGCAGAACACTGATCATTTTATTAAAGATGAAAGACTTTAGTTTTTCAACTCTCAGTAATGCCATAGTGATGTTTGATATATGGACCTGCAGCGGAGTTTAGGTCCAGACACGGCTAGTGACGTCAGACTTTACGACCGGATAAAGGGGCATCTCCGCAGTACACTGTATAACGTTCTTTTCACAAACCAAGATGGCCAGAACGAAGCAAACTGCCCGTAAATCCACCAGAGGAAAGGCTCCCAGGAAGCAGCTCGCCACCAAAGCTGCCCGTAAGAGCGCGCCGGCCACTGGCGGTGTGAAGAAGCCTCACCGCTACAGGCCCGGTACCGTGGCTCTGAGGGAGATCCGCCGTTACCAGAAATCCACCGAGCTGCTCATCTGCAAGCTTCCCTTCCAGCGCCTGGTCCGTGAGATCGCGCAGGACTTCAATACAGACTTGCGCTTCCAGAGCTCTGCCGTTATGGCTCTGCAGGAGGCCAGCGAGGCTTACCTGGTCGGTCTCGTTGAGGACACAAACCTGTGCGCCATCCACGCCAAGCGGGTCACCATCATGCCCAAAGATATCCAGCTGGCTTGCCGCATCCGCGGGGAGAGAGCTCAAGTTAATCTGAGACCAGTATATGTACAACAACGGCTCTTTTAAGAGCCACACACACACACACACACACACACCGGAAGAGCTTAGTTCATCTTTGACAAAAGTCCAAGTTTGGTTTACTGCTACTAAAATAAATCATGAATGTAACATTAACTAACGTGTTAAGCACCAGACGTTTTGATCTGACCAGTTTATTGAACAGGCACAGTACAACGGGCGTTCTGTAAGGTTTTTATTTTTATTTTTTTAATAAAAAAAGGCCATCAACCCTGATGAGTAGTGATGGGATTTCTGGCTCTTTCTAGAGAACCAGCTCTTTCGGCTCCGAACCGGCTCTTCAGGTTGTTCTGTTGCTTTAATTTATCATTAACCATAATAGAAAATTATGCACAAAAGAAATTACTAATATAAAAAAAGTGGTTTTATTTATATGTTTATATATAAATATATGCGGTGGCCCCTAGAGACAAAGCACGTACAAACTCCAAAAGACATTTCTAGCGTTAACTGAACTTCCAAAACAGAGCTACCTAGATCACTTAAATTACACAATTGAAAGCATATGTGTATTGTTTGTGTATTTATACACAAGCACTCATATATATTCAAATAATTTAAAAAAAAAAGTTCATTTACCTGTTACTACCACACACCAAATCCGGTCGTTGGTACTTCTGGCTTGTGTAGCCACTAGGTAACAAAAGCTCAACACTGCGCCCTAGCATCCTGGAGCACTTCTGTTGTTTTTGTACGTGTTTTGAGTTTGTACATGCTTTTGTCTGTAGGAGCCACCGTAAATATACTTTTATTTATTCACTCCACATAAAATGTAATAAATAAATCATATAATACAAAAACCAACTATTACATTTCAACTTTTAACTATTTAAATTTTCAGCTTTTTCCTTTTAAACAAATTTAAAGTGAAACAACACAAAACACTGCAAACCACAACACAATTAAATATAAATAAAATATGAAAACAAAAAGAAGATGCACATTCTCTGTCATATGGGCCTGCATGAATAAACTTTCTGAATCCTTTATCATCGCAACTGAAAATAGTTGTGGATGATTACTATACCTTTCTAATGTGACGTTGTTGTCCCTGGCTCTCTTTCTCTGTCTCTCCCTCCCCTCTGTTCCTGTGCTATCTGCGAGTGTAACAACCGCCTCTCCCCCCTCTTCCCAGCGCAAAGCACAAGGCTCGCGTGCGGAGTGAAGCGGAAAAAAAGTGCGAGAGAGAGGGAAAGAAAAAAACCACGGCTCGCATCGTTCACGTCAAAGATCCGGCTCTAAGAGCCATTTGGTTCGCAACCAACACATCACTACTGATGAGAGCTCCCGCACACTCTTGACTTTTCTGCAGCACAACTACATCTCTTGAAGGAAAAACTGCATAAAGTCAACCTCTAACGATCCTTACAATATGATTATGCATGCGATCACATCCCCAGTAGGATTTGCAGAAGACGTTCAATTTCAAAACAGAAAATTTCATAAAGTCGTAACAACTTAAACTTTAAGATTCTAATTATAATCTGAGTATGAAGCATATAACAGCATCTTTGTTTCTTAGCTTTCTATTGCACGGTCTTGTGTCTGTATCGTTTTGGTCCTCTGTCTGTTCGTTTCGTTGCAGTTTTTCCACACATGCATTTATGTGGTCCTGTGTCTGTTATATGCCAAATGCAACACCATATTTCCTTTTTGTATTTTTCCCCCCACTTGTGGTCCCCCTGGATCGATGGCACCTTTAGCATTTGTCTATACTGCCTATGCCACAGTCAGGCTCTGCTGTGTCCTTCGCATCCAGCTTTTCTAGCTATGACCAAAGAGGAATTTCCATCAAAGTTATCTTCAATCTGATTCCTAATTTGTTGGCTCTGTAGCCACCTTTCCCTTTCTATCTGCCTTTATATAATCCAACTATTGTAGTAAGTGCTGTGCATAAGATGGATGAGTTGTACAGGAAGTAGGTAGGAATGATTTCTTGTGGTGTTCAGAGGTGAATTTTGGTAATCTCAGTCTCTCACTAAACCCACTCCTATGACTGGTCAGCACATGATGGAGTTGGTTGGAGGTATTGTGCAGCATTTTACTTATCTTAGACAAAAATCTGTGTTTACATTTTACATTTTTCAGTTGGTGGAAGAAAGCAGAATCCTTTTGAACGGCTGGAGGATTCCAAGCCCAAGAAAGTTGACCCCAGCGTGGGCGAGCTGATTGTGAAACCCGTGGCCGCTTCCAAGGAGCGCAGCAGCGTGTCCGCAGCTGCTCTCAAGAAGGATCTGGGTGCTGGAGGCTACGATGTGTACAAGAACAAGGCCCGTGTCAAGACACACACAGGCAAAAATGAAGAGAACCAGATGGAAGAACTTAAAGTTAGTATCGAAAAAGTAAATAATGAAATATTATTTAACATACAAAAATCAATGGGAGGTGATATAAATGGTAATAAAGATTATATGATTGGTGCTAACCAAAAGAAACGTAATAATGATTTCATTTCTTCTATAAGAGATGAGGGAGGAAACTCCTTTGTAAAAGAAGTAGATAAAAGGCGAGTTATCAGAAGGCTATGTGCCCATATGTTCTCTCCGTTATCTACAAAAACAAGTGCAGTAAAATACCTGTTAAGTAAAATAGAGCCTCTGGACTCCATCCAATATACCTCACTTTTAGGAAATATTACTAAAGAGGAGGTAGAATGTGCGATCAGTCAGTTAAACATAAACAAAACCCCTGGTTTAGATGGGCTTCCGTCCGAATTTTATAAAATAGTTGTTAATGAAATATCCGAATTTTTAGCCACTGTTTTTAATGAAGGCATGCATGAGGGAACTTTGGGTGACTCCTTTTATAATGGATTAATGTGTTTGCTATATAAGAAAGGGGAAAGAGATAATATAAATAATTATAGACAATTGACAATAATGAATGTTGATTATAAAATATTTGCTAAAATAATTATGAATAGGTTTGAAGAGGTATTAGATAAAATTATAGAAAAAGAGCAAACATGTGCAATAAGAGGTCGTCTGATGTGGGATAACTTATGTACTCTGCGTGAAATAATTTATAGTAGAAAAGATACAGAATTTTTTATATTAAGTCTCGACCAAAGGAAAGCCTTTGATTACATCTCCCACTCTTATTTGTGGGAAGTAATGAAAGCGTATAATATGCCTGAAACCTTCATCTCTATGATTAAAGTATTATATAAAAAATCCCTTGTCCAGATTAAGGTAAACGGCAGACTGACCGAACCCTTCCGTGTCGAATGTGGAGTGAAACAAGGATGTCCTTTAAGCGCAGCCCTATATGTTCTAGCAATAAATCCGTTACTTAAAACAATCAATAGTGATAGCCGTTTTACTGGATACGTCCTAAATGACACCTACAAGGTGACTGCCCTTGCTTATGCGGATGATGTCTCTGTAATTATTAAAGATCAAAAGGAGCTATCAATACTTAAGGATTTGCTAACAAAATACGAACAAGCTTCTGGTGCTAAGCTAAACCAGGAAAAGACCGAAGGAGTTTGGTTTGGACAAAACTTAAAAGAACCTGTAATTGATTTAAAAATTAACAAGGAGATGAAGATTTTAGGTATTTGGATTACTAAAAATGATCCATGTCTTTTGAATTGGAAAAAGAAAGAGAGTGAAATAGAAAACGAAGTAGCTAAATGGGACAATAAAAATACAAACTATAAAGCGCGTGTGAATATTGTGAAAACACACGTAGTCTCAAAGTTGTTGTTTCTGGCTACTGTCTTTCCCCCTCCTCACAAAACTGTTATTAAATTAAGTAAATTGTGTACCAAATTGATTTGGGGGACAAACCGCGAAGTAACACAGAGGAAATTAATGTACAAAGGAAAAGAAAATGGAGGATTAGGAGCGCCAGATCTTAGCGTTATTTTGATGATTCCTTTTATAAAAAATGTATATAGCGCATTTGAGCGAAGCACCCACTGGATCCAAGGGAAGGAATCTTTGTGGAAAAAAATGAAAGGGAGAGCCCGAACGGGAGTGCCATACTTTAAACTTGTGTTTGGGGATCTTGTGGATCAGTGGAAATTGGATGGCTTAAATCTTTTACAATTAAACTCAAAACAGATATATAATAAAATCAATCTAAAAAATGAAGGTATGATACAATATAAGGCTGTGGAAAAAGAAGAAAATCAGAAAATAGTTAAAAACATATATGACAAAGTAATATCCGAGAACATGAGAGATACAGTGTGGCTTATCTCTGTCGGACGTCTCCCAGTAAGAGCTGGTTCTGTGGAGTTGCTTCGTTACTACTAAGAAATGCCCTATGGAGAATTGTGATGAAGACGAAACTCTTGATCATCTATTGATATCGTGTTACAGGACGGTTGAAATAAGAAGGAGGATGGAAAAACTAGGTTTTAATATTGAAAATAATATAAAATCAGTAAGATATGGTTTGTTTAAAGAAAAGATGAGTGAAAATAAAAGAAGATTGTTTTGGTGGTGATGTGTATTATAAATGTCCACATATGGAAAACAAGTGCTAAAGGTGTTATAGAACAAAAAATGATAAGTAGTTTCACGGTATGTAAAAACATTGTAACTGAGCTGAGAAGAAGAAAAACGAGAGATATGAAATTAGGAAATGACTTGCCGTGGGAGCTTTTATTATTGTAATATGTAAAATAAGATGTGAATAATTTGTGCATGGTGCTTGTATTATGTGTATTTGTAATTGTGAATTTTGATATTTAAATAAAGTGATTTAAAAAAAAAAAGCAAGGGTGGCAAAGGACTCGGCAAAGGAGGCGCAAAGCGTCACCGTAAAGTTCTCCGTGATAACATCCAGGGCATCACCAAACCCGCCATCCGCCGTCTGGCTCGCCGTGGCGGAGTGAAGCGTATCTCCGGTCTGATCTATGAGGAGACCCGCGGTGTGCTCAAGGTGTTCCTGGAGAACGTCATCCGCGACGCCGTCACCTACACTGAGCACGCCAAGAGGAAGACTGTGACCGCCATGGATGTGGTGTACGCTCTGAAGAGGCAGGGCCGCACTCTGTACGGCTTCGGCGGTTAAACTCCTTCACCCCAATCCATCAAACGGCTCTTTTAAGAGCCACACACTCACTTTGAGAGCTTTCCTTCTGCGATCTTGTTGGTTTTTGTCATGATTTAGAGGGACGTGCTGAAAAAGTTGGCGAAATATCTGCCAGTATCTCCCCAGCAACTTTACTGAAGTACTACATTATAACTTAAACAAAAATTACCAACTGAGATTCCTAACATGTTATTAATTCTTGGTTTTTCTAAAGTCTATAAGATTAAGCTGTTTATCGTGTGCTTTTCTTTCTCCTTAACTGACAGAGCCACAAACTGAACTTCAGATTACAGACCTATTCAATACCACTGTTTCATTAAACTCGCCTATAGCAGGAGTGTAGACCAAAAGAAAGAAAACTGAAAGATTTCACTAATTAATCCGTTTATTTGTAAATGTCTTCCTGCCACAAATCCACTTAAAGCAGAAGTGCTTATTAGTGATGGGATTTCTGGCTCTTTGAGAACCAGTTTTGGCGAACGCTAGGTTGTGCAATAATTTATATTAAAATAATAAGAAAATATGCACAAAAGGAATTACTAACTCAAAAAAAAGTGTGTTTTATTTATATGTTTATATAGTAAATATATGCGGTGGCCCCTAGAGACAAAGCACGTATCCATAGCATTAACTGAACTTCCAAAACAGAGCTACCTAGATCACTTAAATTACACAATTGAAAGCATATGTGTATTGTTTGTGTATTTATACACAAGCACTCATATATATTCAAATAATTTAAAAAAAAAATGTTCATTTACCTGTTACTACCACACACCAAATCTGGTCGTTGGTACTTCCTGGCTTGTGTAGCCACTAGGTAACAAAAGCTCAACACTGCGCCCTAGCATCCTGGAGCACTTCTGTTGTGTTTTGTACGTGTTAGTTTGTCGTGTTTTGTCTCTAGGGAGCCACCGATAAATATACTTTTATTTATTCACTCCACATAAAATGTAATAAATAAATCATATAATACAAAAAACAACTATTCACATCACTTTTAACTATTTACATTTTCAGCTTTTTCCTTTTCAACCACCAAACCCTGCCCTGCTTTTTGTCTTTGTTTCTTGATAAAAAAAATAAATAAAAAAGGAGAAATATACTTTCCTACATTTGCTATTCTACATGCTTTTAAACCATTTAAAATTACAATTCATAGTTTTATATGTGAATTACTTAATGTTATAGTATACTATTAGTATACTATTTTCCAGGGAACACTGTTGGAACACTTTATTTTATTTATTTTTAGGTCTCTTCTATCCTGTTACCTATTTAATATTACCTTATTGTTAGGGCTGTTTTTGTTGTGCATCTGCACTTTATTGTTGTCAATGTCTACGCATGGGACAGTGTGAAACGTAATTTCAATTCCTTTGTATGGCAAGTACATTTGAAGAAATTGACAAATAAAGTTTTCTATTCTACTAAATTATTATTGAACAAATGACCAACTAAGAATTTCAGACTTTAGTTTACTCCTTTGCCGAGTTTACTTTACTGAAATGTGATGAGCGTTGGAAAATAATATGTGAATAATTAAAGGAGGGAGCCATTTAGCATAACAATTCATGCTTACAAAACTACTTTTTTTTTTTATACGGAAGTTAGTGAATTCCATGTTATGCCAACTGTAATTTCAGGAATAGAAACAGCATGAAGATTGAAATGTGAGATACAGATTAATTAACAATACTAGTAGCTACTAAAGGAGCGAGCTCTTGGTGTGAGTGAGGAGTGGCTCTAAAAGAGCCGTTGTTGGTAGGAGAGCGTGCTAGCTTAAGCTCTCTCTCCGCGGATGCGGCGAGCCAGCTGGATGTCTTGGGCTGTGGTGACTTGCGTGATGCGCAAGGTTTGTCCGAGTCCGCGGTAGCCTGGTCCTAGAGCATGACAGCAGACTCGGAGCGATCGTCTGATCCTGGCGACTGCACCAGGCGCTGGAAGGGCAGCTTGCGGATCAGCAGCTCGTGGATTTCTGGTAACGGCGGATCTCCGCAGAGCCACGGTACCAGGCCTATAACGGTGGAGGTTCTTGACGCCTCCGGTGGCCGGGGCGCTCTTACGGAGCGGCCTTGGTGGCCAGCTGCTTCCTGGGGGCTTTACCGCCAGTAGACTTGCGAGCGTCTGCTTGGTTCGTGCCATTCTTTCTCACTTTTTTTCCTGTGATAAGAGCAGAAAATGTAGCGAACAGAGGAGACTCGCTGCTCTTAAAGTGTGTGACTGGCTGTGACGCGGTGCCGCTCCGGCTCGTGATTGGTGACGGGCTCCACGTGTGAGCATCGCCCCGCCTCGGTGTGTGCTGCTCATTGGAGAAAAGTGCATTGAATTTGCGCGCTGCCGCTAAGCCTCTCTCGATTGGTGCGTGACGAACGCCCGCGCGCTCTGCGGAAATATAAGCGAGGCTTTGAGCTGATCGGGCCACATTTTCTCTTAGTCTCGATACTACGAAGAAAAGAATTTGTTAAAATGAGTGAACGCGGCAAGACTCTTTTTGCTGACTGGCAGCAAGACGACCACATGTCAAGTTTAAAAACTGACTTGTTGAAAACTTCCGGGACATTTAATGTCCTTGTTGGAGTGACAGGGAGTGTTGCAGCCTTGAAACTGCCTCTTTTAGTCTCCCATCTTCTTGAACTCTCCGGGGTGGATGTACGAGTAGTCACTACAGAGCATGCCAAGCACTTCTATAATTCTGCTGAGGTGTCAGTCAAAATCTACAGTGACGAGGATGAATGGGAGCTGTGGAAACAGAGATCTGACCCTGTGCTACACATTGAGCTAAGGCGTTGGGCAGATCTACTTGTCATTGCCCCTCTTGATGCCAACAGTCTTGGAAAGATTGCTAGTGGTATTTGTGATAATCTGCTGACGTGTGTGGTAAGAGCCTGGGATACCAGTCGTCCTCTTCTCTTCTGCCCTGCAATGAACACAGCTATGTGGCTGCATCCTATTACAGCCCAGCAGGTATCCAGACTGAAGGAGTTTGGATATGTGGAAATCCCCTGCGTTGCCAAAAAGCTAGTGTGTGGAGATGAAGGTAAAGGTGCCATGGCAGAAGTATCGACAATTGTCAGTCTTGTCAAAGAGTATCTTCAGAAACCAGGTGAGTCTTCTTTGGAGGCATGAAGCAGGCAGAGCTAAGGCTAAGACCGCTCATCCACGTGCCGGGCTTCAGTTCACCCGTGGGTCGTGTCCAGACTGCTGCGCAAAGGCAACTATGCCGGAGCGTGTGGAGCCGGTCGCCCCTGTTTACCTGGCAGCTGTGCTCGAGTACCTGACCGCTGAGATCCTGGAGCTGGCTGGCAACGCAGCCCGCGACAACAAGAAGACTCGTATCATCCCACGTCACCTGCAGCTGGCTGTGCGCAACGACGAGGAGCTCAACAAGCTCCTGGGGGGAGTCACCATCGCTCAGGGTGGTGTGCTGCCCAACATCCAGGCTGTGCTGCTGCCCAAGAAGACCGAGAAGCCCGCCAAGGCCAAGTAAACGCAAAGCGCTCGGCTTCACCAAAAACAAAGGCTCTTTTAAGAGCCACACACTTCTCTTGAGCAAACATCCTTCTTGCTGTTATGGTGTTTGTAACAACTTGTGTCCTGGGAAATGTAGATTATGCATCTTGATTTATTTTGAAATGTGCGTTCATTCATGTCATCTTACATAGTCACGGACTGAAATCCACCTTCAAAAAAAACTACTTTTATTAACTCAAAAGCTCTGTGTGTGTAGTCTATTCTTTTGTGAATGAAACAAACTTTAGGTCTTGATATAAAACTAAAGCAAAAAGCTCTGCCTCCTGCGTTGTGGTTAGGGGTCGTGTTCAACCTCATTGCTCATCTTACTAATTAAGAGTAAATTGGATGTCACTAATTATTAGCTTCATAACTGACTGTGGACACTCATCATGGTTCACTCGCTTTATAATTAAAACAGTTTCTAAGCTCATGGAAACGGACAACGCACAGTTCATGATGTGGCAAGACCACAAACGCAACAGGAAATCATAACACCAAACATGAGGTGGAGAGGGACAGGTGGACTTGTTTGGTACAGAGGGAGGAAAATGTGCAGCTGTTTGCAACGTGTTCAGCACTGCTGCTGAATTTGGGACATTTTGCAAAGTCACTTACATCTACGCTTAGGTTTTTGTGTCTATTGTGAGTAGAATAAAACTATTACAATAGAGTTTGCTTGGATAATAGGGGGCAGCTGGTGATCAGAAGAACAGAAAATGATTCCTAAGTGTGGGTTTTGTTAGAATGTCTTTGTCAACCCCTGTTTTAAGGACAATAGTGGATTTGTTCTCAAAGCATTTCATGCGACCTTAAAGCTCCCAAGAATGACATTAAGTTGCTGAACCCTGACCTCTGACGTGCCAAATCAGTTGGTTCAGCTATAAACTTTGGTGTGTAACTGTATAGTGTGAAAAATGCATTGACAGTGGGGGTCTGCCTGTTATAAAGTGAGTGAAAGCTGCCTCAGCCAAGAACAAGAAGCCACAGTTACTAGTCTGGTTAGAGGACAGCCCCCCCCCCCAGACTGAACAATAGAATTAGTGGAAAACTACTGTGGAGGGGGACACAGGGCAGCCCCGGACTCTTCTTCAGCTGGGATATCCAAAGAATCGGTGAGGTCAAGAAGTAAACTCAAGACTATTTTGAAATAATTTAATTCCCCTCATCCTTCACGCTACAGAGCTCCATGGTAAAATAAATAGCAGTACGGGCTCAGCTTGGAGTAAAATGTGTCCTTGAAATCACACAATATCAATTCAACTGGACTAGATTTAGTCAGGTAAGGTTGTAGATTAGAGCTTTTCAAGTGGATTATATTAGCTGGGTATCATTAAAATATACAGTGTACTTCCAGTACAACAGCCAGTGTAGGCTTTTAAAAAATAGAACTGTATTTCATACAAGAATAATAACATGCATCTATGAATGTATTATGTGTTGTTTAATAGAATATTTTAAAATGTAGTTGCTAACTTTTAACAGTTTGACTTGTATTACGAAGGTGTGATTATAAATATTAAGTCGTTAATATTTGTATTCCTCTGGAGTTGTAGACTTGCTTAGACAGCACTAATGTGCACCATGATAGTAATCCAAGTTGTAATTGTAATGAGGACAATGGAGAAAAAAAAAAGTGTTTTAATAACATGGACATTATTGTGAATGACAGAGTGGTGAGTGAGTGAGAGGAAGGAGCTCTTGTGTGTTGCTGTGGTGGCTCTGAGAAGAGCCGTTGTTGAGTGTGAGAGCGGTGTCAGCTCACTTCTTCTTGGCTGCTGTGGCGCCTTCTTGACTTTGGGCTTGGCGGCCTTCTTGGCGTGGGACTTTCTTTGAGGCGGGAGCCTTCTTGAGCACCTTCTTGGGGTTTTGCCTGGGGCTTGCGTTTCTTGGCTGCGGTTCTTGGCTCTTCTTGGGCTATTTTGAGCAGGCTGCTGCCGGTTTCTTGGCTTTGGCCGCGGTCGGGCTTCTTGGCTTTTGGAGCGGTTTCTTTCAGGGCTTCTTGGCTTTGCTCTCAGTAGCCTTCTTGTTCATCTTGAAGGATCCGGAGGCCCCGGTGCCCTTGGTCTGCACCAAGTGCCCTTCGCCACCAGGCTCTTGATGGCGGTCTTTTTTTTTTTTTTTTTTTTTTTTTTGCCTGTCCCGTTTGGCTCTTTTGCCATCAGAATTGTTGTCTAAAGGCAAAGAAAGATGCCCAACGGATTTACTTTACCAAATTGACCATCCCAGCCTTGCCGTAATGGTCCATTTGATTCACCTTTTATTGTTTATTTTATTTTCACTTACTGAATACGGGACAGACTTGACTGGGGGAAAGAAGGGGAGAAAGAAAGAGGGAAAGAGAAACAGCTGAGAAGAGGGACGGGGGAGAAGGGCAAAAGACAAAAACCAACAGAACGGGCAGGAAAAAAAATGCATATATCGATCACCTGGATCACCTGCTGAGAAAGAAAAAAGAAAACAAGCAGAAGAGAACAAGAGTAATAGAATAAACAACATCACAATGATATATGGGAATATGACAGTAAATACTAAATATTAAACATTATTGTGCAGCACATAAGATCAACAGAACACAGTGTGCTTTGAGGTAGGAGCCAAAAAGGGTGTAGTTTGTGGGTGTGATCACCCGTGTGTACACCTGTGAGCATGGACGCGCTTGTTTTTAAAAGGTTCCTTCATGTAATGATCTGCTAGAGGGTGTGGGGGGGCCACAGCCCCGTCCTCCAGGGCATGAAGCAGGTATGGAGGAGATCAAAACTCCAGACATCCAGAGGCCCCCAGAACACAAGAGACCAAGGAAGACCAACAGAGGGGCAGCCGCGCCACTGTCCCAGAAAGAGCTGAGGAGAGTCCCAGATGAGGGCTCACTCAGCAGCCGCGGAGCAGAAGCCAGGGGGAGTTGCAGTGACGCGCCCGTGAGCTCCGCCGGCAGCCAGCTGTGCCTGAGTGACCGAGCCCCAGGCCGAGAGGCCGGGGGCACCCCACCTCCGAAGTGGCCCGAGCGAGCCCCAGGCTCCAGGCCCCGATAAGCGGCCGCCAAGGAGTGAGCCGGTGTGTACCTGGACGCCCATCCCCAGACACAAAGAACCACCAACGCACCGATGTCTGAGGGAGTCCGCCACTGGCAGGGGAAGTGGTGGTGGGTGGAGATAGGCCTCCAAACCTTGGAGGGCCTGAGATGTCCCCAGAGAGGTGGCGTCTGATACCCAACCTGACATATAGACACAGACATACAGGCACACACAGACACAAACATCCATTCCCACCCTCATGCTCTCATATGCACTTACTCCACACTCAACCAACGTGGAGACAGACATAAAGAGACGCTGTACACACGATCACACTCGTTGATGGCG